ATTATATATAAATAGTTAAATAATATAAAAAATTATTATAAAAATTAAAATAAAATAAAGTTAATATATAAATTATAAATAAATAAATAATAATTTGTTTATTATAAATCATAAAATCAATATTAAAAAAATATAAAAATTATAAATTATTTATAAAAGCTAAATTTATTATCAGTATTTAATTAAAAAAAAAAGAATATAATATAAAAATAGAAAAAAATTATGATATATTTAAAAAATATTTTTAATAAAAAAAAATAAGATAAATATAAATTATATTATAAAAAAAATATATTAAAAATAAAAAAAAATTTATAATAAATATTTAAAAAAAAGAATGAAAGTAAATATAAATATATAAAAAAAATATAAATTTTATATAATTATAAATATTCACTATAATATAATAAATATATTTATTTAAAATATAATTATTATATTACTATATATATATTAAAAAATAATAATACTTATAATATAGCTGTATAAATCATAATGTTATATCAATTTAGGCTGCACTATTCTGATTTATAAAATATGATAATATTTAAATTATAAATTTAAAAAAATATTTAATGACAATATTGAGGTTTTTTTTAAGAAAGATTTAGATTTTATAATTTCTATTTATAAAGAGCCTGAAAAATTATAGCATTTAATGATAGTAAACAAATGTAATAAAAATAATGTAAATTATATATATAATGTTTTTGTTTTCATATAAATATTATAGGATAAAGTTAAAATATTATTTTTAATATTTTAATAATATATATCAATATTTTATTTATTAATTAATAATTATTATATAATTTTTTATTTAAAGATATATTATACTTTTTTTATTCCTTAATATTATTGTACTTTTTAATATCTTAATTTATAATAAATAAAACTTTATTTTTTTAAATACTGTTTATTTTTATAAAATGAGTTAAATATCATAATTTTTTTTTATAAAAAATAAATCAATTAAATGGAATTATAATTTGATAATAATTTAATAAAAAAAAAATATATATACATTTTTCTATAATCTATTAGAAAAGACATTAAAATTATCAAAACCATAAAAACTATATAAATAAAAAACTTTTTAAATTACAAAGAATAAGTTATTTAGTTATTAAGTTTTTGTTTTTGATTAAATAATAGTTTAAAAATAAAAATATATTTAAAAAAACTAAATTTTATATAAAAATTAAAAGATAATAAACAGAGAACTTATTAATTATTCCTTTTTTTTGTATTAAATTTAAATGAAAAAATATATATTATATTATAATATAATTTTTCCTTCATTTTTAATAATTTTAAGTGATTCATTTATATAATAAATATCAAATATAAAAAATATTAAAATTAAGTAAGATTTACTAATGATTTGTAACATAATAAATTGCATTTATTAATTTTCGTTATGTCTAGTAAGTTTATTGATTGATTTTTTAAAGTAAATTTTGTTGAACATAATACAGTTTTAATTTTTAAAATAATCATATATATATACTTTATAATTTAAATTAGTTATATATATAAAAAAAAGATTTGATTTATTTTTTAAAAAATAGAAGATGAATTTAATATTAATGAATAATAATGATAAAATAATAATTTTTTTTGCAAATTAATTGTATTTTTTATGAAGTTTTCTTATCGGAATTTTAATAAAAAAAATATTTTTTTATTAATTAAAAAAAATTAAAAAAAAATTGTTTTAGTTTTTTCTATATATTTTTTTATTTCCTATTTAATTTCTCCAATATTAATAAATATATATTTTACCATATTTAATATATTAAAAAAAATCGTGAAAATATAATAAAATAAATATTCACATATTTTAATAATATAAGATTATAATATTAATAATTAAATTTAAATTTAATCGTCTAAAACAAAGGAAATAAATATTTTCTATTTATTTATTATTTCATAATAGGATAATGAATGACACTCCTTAATATTTATAATATATTATTTATTTTTCTGAGACTATAGACAAAACCTGACAAAGTATACACTCATATATTTGAAATTTAAATAAATGGAAAGAAATTTAGTTAATTAGTATCATTTTTTGGTATTTTATTCAATTATTTAATATAAAACATATTTGAATAATTACAAATAAACATAAATATAAAAAAATCATTTTTTTAATTTATATAATTACCAATAATATACTTGTAATATCTGAATTAAAAAATAATATATTTTTATTTTCTATATGTTTGATTTTAAATGGGATGTTTTATATTTAATTAAAAAACAATATTGAAGAAACAAACAAAATCAAAAATAATGAAAGAAAGTATGTTTTATGCAGGTAAAATTTATGTAAATGTTTTTTGTTATATTATAATTCATTTTTTTTTTAAATAAGAATGTATAAGTGATTAATCTTGTTTTCTTTGCTGTTTTAGGAATGATAAGACATATTATAATTTAATTATAACAAGGTAATTTAAGATTAAAAAATTAAATCAAAAAAAAAAAATCTCATTAATTTTTTTAAATATAATTTATTAATATAAAATGAAAAATATAAGTATTAAAATTACTGATATATAAAAAAATATATTTCATTTATTATAACATTTAATATTTTTTGATAAAGTTACAGAAAATAAATCTTTTGACATTTAATCTAATATTTTCGTTTATTAAGTAATTTTAGGTTCATTTGGTTTTTTTACTAATTATTTAAGACTATAAATAAAATAAAAAAATAAATTAATATATTATATAAATACATGCTTTTATCTTTTTATTGTTATTATGTAACTTTCCAAAATTAAGAAGTTGGAGTTATAGATTTTCGAAGCTATTTTTTAATATTAATATAAATATGTATATATATATATTTAAATATAATATATATATATATATATATTTAATTAATTATTTTTATATTTAATAATATATATATATATTGTAGAAATTTATATTTATAAATAATTTTAATTACTTAATACTCAAATATTTTAGTATTCAAAATATTTTAGAAGTCTAAATTGAAACTATATTTTATATCTCTATTTTTAATTTTTATAACAACGAAATCAAAATCTAATAGAACATCAAATTCTTTTAATTAAAATATTTTTATAAATATATAAATTAAAAATATATTTATAAAAAATAAATATATATAATAATATAGAAATAAAAAATATATTTCATATATATTTAATATTATATATATATAAATATTAATATATATTTATTTATATATATATATATATATTATATTTTTACTTTTTATTACGACATCAATTAGTGCTTAATTAAATGCATTTAAAGAATTTTAAACTAATTCTTTATCAAAATGACTTATTATATATTTTTTTTATTTTTATACAATAAATTATACCATGCTTATGCTATTATAGATGCATTACAAAATTTTACATTATTTCCTTGCTAAAATACAGAATATTAACTATTAGAATCTTTTTTTATATTTTTAAAAATATAAAATAAATTAAAATTTAAACCTTATATTTCTTCTTTCCCTGGATATCTAACTAAAGCATTTTTTAAGTTTTTATCTGGTGCAAAAAAAGGTCTTATTTTTTCATTTTTTTAAATAAATATTAAAATTTTACCTCATTCTATGTTTATGAAGTCTATCACTTATATTATTTTAAAAATCTTTAGCTATTTCACATAAATTTGAATGTATTGTAGGTCTTGATGTATCTTAACATATTTCAAACCCAAAAATGCCAAAGTTATGTAAATTGAGACTCTTTTTATTTTATAAAAAAATATAAAATATATTAAATATTTAATTTATATACGTTTCCTTCTAACATTCTTTCATAAATATAAACTTTTAACGCTTTAAATATTATTTTAAACTTTATTTTTATAATTTATTTATGTTTTTTTTTAAAAAAAATACTTAATCCATTAAGTTTAATGGTTTTAAATCTGGATTAGTTCTATTTTATTAATTTTAATGTTTTCCTGGATAATCTATAGGTTTTTTTAAAATACTTTTTTATATATTTAATAAAAATATAAATCCTTGAGTATTTTTTTATTCTTTACAAATCAAATATTGTTTCAAAATTCATTTTTTTTTTTTTTTATAACTTTTAATTTTTGTTTTTTTAATTATAAAAACAAACAACAACAACAAAACTTTATATATGAAAAATATTTCGAATTAAAAAATAATTAAAAATTATAAATTTTTTGTTTGTTTTATAAATATGTTTCTTTATATTTTAAACAAAAATTAATAAAAAAAGTATAAATAAATTGATAAAACATCAATAAAATATAATTACTAAAAAAATTTATATATATAATAAAAATTAATTTTATTTTAAATAAATATTCATTAATTTTTAAGTTATTTTGATTAATAATATTATCCATTTTTAAGTCGATCTTAACTAATGTTTTATTAATTTTAATTTATTATTGATTTTTTAGGAAAATATTCATCAAATGTATTTAAATTTTTAGAAGTGGATTTACAAGAAAAAAAATTATTAATATAAAAATTCTAATTCGTAGTATTTTTTTAAATATAATCCTAAGTATTGATTTGTAATTTTTAGTAAATATATTTTTAAATATTATTCATTTAATTTTTATTCTAATTTTTAATTTATAAATAATCTTTATACTAAATTTTTTTATTTGATTAAGCCTTCATATTTTTAATGCTATTAGGAATAATTTCAAAATAAGATTTTTAGTTTTCAAGATCTTTGATTATTTTTTTCTAAATTTCACATTTATTTTACAACTCAACTATATCATTATTCTTTATTTCATTCAAAAATTCTAATGTATCAGGTAGCTAATGATAAGAAGGAATCGAATATTTTCTAAAATTAAAGCTTTTCTAAGAAAAATATTATCCTTTAATTTACTTTTAATCATGATCTAAACTACTCTAGCGTAAAAAATAATTCTAATTTTAATTATTAAATATAGGTTCTTAAATTGTATTAGAACTTTTCTTTACTAACATTTGAATCTTAAATTTATTAAAATTATTATTATTATTATTATTATTATTATTATTATTATTATTATGATTATTATTATTATTTTTTATATTATTGTTATTGATATTATTATTTATATTATTGTTATTGATATTATTATTATTGTTATTATTATTGTTATTGTTAATGTTTTCATTGTTAAAATTATTATTTGAATATGAATGATTATTATTCGTATTAGATATATTGTTAATAGTATTAGTATTATTTATTGTATTAGAATTATTGATATAAGATTTTATTTTATGTTTTTTTTTAATAATATTTTTATTATATTATATATTTGTAGAAGATTTATTTCCTATTACGGCACCTCTAGTAATCGGTTATAAAACAGCTATAGATGAGCATTTTTTTATAATTTATTTAGTATTTAATTAAACATTTTATTATTAATTTTCTTTTTATTATTAATTATTTATTATGTTTTAATTAATATTATTATTATTATTGTTATTAATATTATTATTATTATTATTATTATTATTATTACTATTATTATTATTATTATTATTAATATAATTTTTATTAAATTGAATATTATTATTACTTTTGATTTTTTCTTCAAAAGAAATATTGTAAAGACTTCTTTGAAAATCGTTTCTTTTATTTTCCATAATTAATTATTTTCTATCTTCTTTTAAATATTTCCAGAATTTATTTACTTAATTTTACAATGATTTTATTTTCTCTTCTTCATATTTTTTTTTATTTTTTAAATATTACAACATCCATTTTTTCCCATTAATATCTCCCATAATCTTACTTATAAAATATTTCTTTTTTATAGCAAATAAAGTTGATTTTTCAGCATTTTCACATACTACAGTCCATTTTCTTTTACTTTCAATCTCATCATCTCTAAATAAAAGTTCGTCTTCTCCAAAAAATTACTTATCAGTAAAGCTCTAAAACTTAATATTTAAATAATTTATATAAATATATTTTATTTTATTTTAATTTAATTTTATAATTAATTAAATTATATTTATTAAATATATAAAATTACTTTCATCTTTTTAACATATTATTTTTAGTAAATTTTTTAATTTTCATCAATTTATAAGCTCCATTAATCCTATTATTAAATTTTAAAATTTTTATAAGCCACAAAATGTCCTTTAATTACAATATAGACATATTATGCTTTATCACCTTCCTGATAAACTACTTATCCTTTAAAAAAATCAATTTATTTTAATTTCGAATAAATATCCCTAATAAACTATTTATTAATAATTCCAATAAAAGGAATATCTATTAAACATGCTACTTTATCATTTAAAACTTTTAATTCGATATTTTTCATAATCCTATTGAAATCTTTCTTTTTTAATACTAAAAAATCGCAATCTTCTTCACATATAATAGTCGCCAAACGCGGTTAATTGCTTATTAATGCAAGCTCTCCAAATGAACTTCCAGTTGGCATAATAGCCACTTATTTTAATTATTCTACACCTTTTCTTATATGCACTTATACTGAACCATTAAATATTATATAGAACTTAGTCCCTTCTGTATCTATTGTTATTACTTCAGTACCTTTAGGATGATGTTCGTAGACTATACTCTGACAACATTATTTATGAATTTCTGTGCATCCATTTTATTATTAAATTAAATCTTTAAAAAATTTTATGTTTTAAGTTAATTTCATTAATGAGTTTATCTCTAATGGAGTTCGATAATGTGATATTTTTTAAAGAATTGAAATTGCTTTGCCTCGCTTTTTTTTTAAATTTTATTTATATTGAGTTAATTTTTATTTTTTACATCCATTTATTAATATATTTTTTTCAATTTATTTAAAGTTTTCTTTATTTTTGTACTAATATTAAACAAAGTATTTATTTAAATAAAATAAATTTTCATAATTTTTTTTTAAAAAAAAATTAAATTTAATATGATGAAAAATACTATAGATTAAAGGAATTTATAATAAATAAATTATAATTTATTAAAGAATAGATATTATATAAATATAATTATTTAATAAAAGTAAGATAATAAGATAATTATTAGAAAAAATATT